AGAGATAAAGGGGAGGGGCGAGGTTGTAGGTCATTAGGGGTCAAAGCAATAAAGCGAAAAGAAAAAAATGTACACAACCACTATTTTCTTCTTTTTTTTTTTATGGTGTTCAGAAAAGTGGGAAAACTTGGAATAACATCAAAAGGTTTGACCAGGATTTGGAAAGGTAGAAAGTGATTGTTCATATTCAGGGTGAGAAAGGCAGTGATGACGATTTTTATTGTTGGTTGTTGGCATCTGTCTGTCTCCGGAGACAATGGAGAGTGCGTCATCGTGTCGGTCTTTTGAGCTGCAGCGCTTGCAGTGGCTGCTCTGACATAATGTTATCTTAGAGTGAAGGATCCTGACCACTGAAGCTGTTGCTTTAGGAGGTGAATTTCATGCCCAGTTTTATCAATGCTGGTGCTGCCCTTAGCAGGCTGTACTCTCCCGCCTCTCTTTTTTTTGTAGGTGTTTTTACCCCTCAATTTTGATAAATTAGGAGGTGAGCTTTAACTGTTCTTGCCAGGTCCAAATTGGGCTGAGAGACATGCATCGTCCCAGCAGAAAGACTAAGATGCTCGATACCACCCCCCCCCCTAAAAAAAAACCTAAAAAAACAACCCCAAACTCACTTGAATCGAACTCAGATCTCCTGCATGAGCGGCGAAGTGCTTAATCGCTATACGACAGACTCTGGCCTCCGTCCTTTCTTCCCACTGCCCCATCATACAATCGTAGCAACAACACGCAAATTTTTACTGGTGTGGATATTTCCAGGAGCAAATCATAGACTTGCAGTATAGCATCCTAGACCGTGCACACCGACAAAGTTCCGGTTCAAAATAGCGTGCATTGATTGACTCAATTTGGATCCAGGCGAACACAAAAAAGGGGAGGGGGTGCAACTCTCCCTTGACTGTGGCGAGACTTGCGGGTTGGGTTAGTTGGGTTTTTTAGTATGGCATTTTTTGTGCCTTTCATATCGGGAGTAGCAAGGTGTTTATACTTGTAGAGAACAAAGAGCGGCGACCATGACTGTGCATGATCTACGATATCATAATCTAAATCTAGGCCCTATGGTATTCATTAAAAAATGACGATAGGCTGCTCTTGCGTGTCCAGTGTTCAGCGTGAGACTCAGTCAAACGCCAATTCTTGCGAAAATCACTCTTTTTTTACGATTAGCCCAGTCGATTACGATGTCACTGCGCACGATATGTTATGTGAAAGGATGAGCCTACTTGTTTTGGAGTTACAAAAATCTACTCTTGCAACTTACACAAACAGCCTAAAAAAGAATGCTGCTATGAGATTATGACAGCTTTTTGCACTCAGTGTTCTTGAGTGTAATTTTCCGCTATAAGTATGTGACGGATTTTGCAACTGGTGAAAAGGCACCAAAAGTAAGGCGTGTTTCACTCGGCAACATGCCTATGACAAATTATGAGTAAAACTATAACTTCGTGTTCAGAAAAAAAATTAATAGCTGGGTCAGTTTGGCTGTCATTATGTTTCTTCAAGTGGGCAAAGTGCACTTATATATTTAGCTTCCTCTTTGGTAAACACCATTGTACAAGGCAAGGGGGCACGACATAATAAATTATTTTGAATGAACGATGGGAACAGTACAGGTAGGGATAAGTGCGGGTTTGTTTGCGGTTGTTTTTTTGTTTTTTTTCGTTTCATTATCTTGTTGCTACATTTTGAGCTACCTTACTAAAATAAAAGAACGCAAGTTATTGAACATTTGCACTAAGGATTGCCCTTAATCAGATCATATACTTTCTTAACGCTAAAATTGGCTTTACAGCAACTATTTTTTTTTATTGCTGACTCCCGGAATTTTTATATCAAACCTATGACTAGTTGGCTCTGCGTCAATACACACTGACTGGGTTACACTATGTTTAACGGGCATCGTGGTGAAATCAGGCGCTCATCAAAATATTGAAATCAAAGAAACTGGCATTTTTCTGGCCGTCTGGCAATTTTATCCTATTTTTTTTTTTTTTTGACTCACTAACTTTTATGTCCATTTAAAAACACATTATTGTGTGGATTTTACTGATAAACATTGATTAAAGGCACCAAAAAATGTACATTTTCAGTTTCCAGGGACTCTCAAGCTATGGGAATTACCCAACTTTGGCGGCCATTTACTCACTTATTTTGCCTCTGAAACCAGACTACACTCACATGCTTTAATCGCAAAATATATCGACTTCTGTCATAAATGAACATCTTTTAACCCAAAGCAAGGCAAATGAACAGGCTTTGAGATGATATCAATAACCCTATATGCCTACAAATTAGCGAGCGCCTTATTCCACCACGTCGTGCCACTTTTGTTGTGTTACTGAATTATCTTCGGAAAGTGATTCATTCTCTCTCTCTCTCTCTCTCTCTCTCTCTCTCTCTCTCTCTCTCTGTGTGTGTGTGTGTGTGTGTGTGTGTGTATGTGTGTGTGTATGTAAGTGTGTAAGTGTGTGTGTGTG